ATATCTGGTGTTTTCGAGCAGACTAGTGACTGGTTGTGCGCATTTACTATGGCAACCAATATGAGCCAATGGCCAACGGCTTGTGTGGGCAAACATGTGCTTCACAGCCTGAATTTTGAAGCGTGAGTTCTTCGTGTTTGTCGGTGAAGGTCATGTGCACGCCTTGTAATTCCAATCAGGCCATGCCTTGTGTAGCAGGTCTGGTGTCTAATGATTCTTATTCTTTGAACCGTGTGGAGCGGCAGTTGCAAGCTCCTGACTCGAGCCGTTCAACCACTCTGTTTGCAACCGACAGTCGTAACCCTTTGGTGGACCGGGCTATACGTGGCTATTGTAGGTTGGTGTTCCAGGCCCATATCTCCGTTTGATTGGAAGGACTAGCGACCGGTGCTCTGTGCATTCATCCGTGTGGGCGGACCGGGACGTTGCCGACCGGATCGGTCGCTGGGAAATGGCCGAACAAAACACCGCCAAGGGACGCTTGGACATGCTTGGACATCCTTGGACCATTGAAAGCAGTATTGAAATCAGGTCATCATATGTCATCATATGTCATCATCCCCTCTAGAATCTGGAACGTCTTGAACAATCCCTCTAGATCTTGTCCAAGACATGTCCAATACGGTTCGGGGATGAAGACCATGGTTTCCGGTAGATGTTCGCTTAAAATCCCTCAAACATCTTAAAGCAATTCTGGGAACATGGTGTTGATGTTGATACCGAGCACCTCCCCTCTTCCGACCCCCAGTCAAGGCCGACGCGGTGTCATCCGTCTGAACGGTTCAATCGATTTTCACATCAACGGACCATTGGGTCCCCAAACGGTGCTGTACTCATTAGACCCAGTCAATGAGTCAATTGCATACGTGGCCCCATCCGAGTCAGAGAGTGGCACGGTGTCCAATACATGTTCTACGTGGGGGATTTCCTTTGCAATGTTGGGGGTCTGCAAAGCAGGGGGCCAGTTTGGCGGGCAATGTCTTGGTCGTGGTGAGTCCTGGGTCGGACCGGACCTTTAGTGACCCTTTGGTCGTGTTTTTGGCTTCTAAGACCCAGGGACTCGAGAGAAGCAGGGGACGGCTGGATTGAGGCTTCGCACGGTGCAAGAGGCGAACTCGGATCCGGCCTCGCCGCTGCTCCGGTGTGAGCCGGTGGATGATAACATGATGGAGATGGGAGGGACGTGGCTGGGTGAGTGAGCGGTAGGTGGGTGGTGAGTGGCCCTCCTCATGACTGCTGGATGCCGAAAAGTGATGTCAGGATGAGGTCATTGGAGGGATTCGTGGAAAGTGGACGGCTGGCTGACCTGTCTACATACCTTACAGCATCAACCTAGACAGGGTATAGGCGGCAAAGGTCCGGTGCTAAGACACCGGAGTTCTGCACCTTTGTTTCCATGAGATGGCCATGAGATGCCTATTCTGTGCCATCCTGCATGCGTCTAATGGTCTAACCCTACCGCCTCCACGACGGCGTTGTGAGTTGATGAAGGAGTTTAAGGTTCACCGTTGCCAGCATGTAAAAATACACACACACATAGGCACATAGGTATTATATATAGTTCTAACATGCATGCACACACATACATATCTTTATATCATATGTGCAACAATGGGTGGAAGCCTTGTTCTCACAGGTGACCTGGCTAGTCGCAAGGGTGTGGTTTCACAGTTGAACATCCATCCAATGGGCTGTTTGATTTATTGGCTGGAGCTTTGCCAGGGCTGCAGGGCTTGAACCAAAGCCAGATAGCTCTCACAGAGTACTGTAACTGCTTGGTGGCTGGGAGGAGATGTGATGGGATGTGAGATGTGCAGGAGTGGGAGGTGGACATCAACTTTCCAGAAGATTCAGCTTTGCAGAAGAGCCTCAACAATCTTGCAGACTCCTGGCAGACTGTTGCAGACTGATTGGCCCCCATGACACATGCAGCAACAGCGACTGCAACAACTTGCGGTGAGTCTTGTGGCTGTTTCATCCGCCATAATCAGACTCAGCTCATGGACGTGTAGAGACCTCCCGTGAGCCACGAAATATAACTACTTGCGCATAATTGGCATGTGTTCATCACTACTTTATCCAGACTGTCTCGACTTGGTTTTAGGGTCCATGGATCATCAGAAACTGCTTCTGGGGGGAGTCTGGCCCAGTGACAAGCGAGTCTGGACTGCCCCGCAGGAGCCTGCCTCGAAACCTGCCGGTCTTACCACTCCATCCATGCTGATTGGCTGACCAGCCAGCTTGAGCTGTTCTTGCAGTCCTCAGACGCCCAGACCTCCAAGTCTATACTGGTTTCCCCAGGTTTGAGCAGTGTGGATGGCTGGGCTGGGGTTTAAGCCGCCTCCCAGGAGAGCATGTTTGATGAGAGCCTGAAGAAGCTGACACTCTCGGTGCGCTTCCCCGTGGAGTATCCCCTGAGCCCACCGGAGGTGTGGTTGCGAAAGCCCCGCTTGCAACATGCGCGGGAGAACGCAGGCTGCCTTGGCTTGATGGAATGAAGGATGGAGGGAGGACCTTGTTCTAAGATGTTCTAGGTCCAGGTTTCTTGATGTTTCTTGTTTCCACATCTTTCCTGCATGAGGGGTTGGTGTCGTTTAGGCAGTGGTTTTCGAGCTCAAAAATCCGCGCCACCAGGCACAGTGACCTTTGGCGGGCGTGTTTGCAGTGGCTTGTTTGCAGCCGTGGCGGCGACACCGGTTCCCAGATGAGACCCAGCTCGGGGGTCTACTGCGGCGGTCCCACCAGCTCGGCGGTCCGTTGGTCCGTTCGGTTCCTGAAATGGTTCGGAGTCGACGCGGTCCGTTGAAACCTTTCATGACACGCGGTCCGTCTCCATATGACACGGATTCGCAACTGCTCTTCCGCAGCACTCAGATGTCTTTTTCGTGCGCTGAAATATCGTCTTTGTTCAAATAGCTCGGCCCTGACACACATCACATACTGTAGTTTATCCCACAGGGCATCATAAAGCAGCCGAAGTTTTTTGAAGATGGTGTGTGATTGGCTATGGAATTCCGACAGCTTGCGCTCATCAACGGCTGTGAAAGAGATGCTGTGTTTGTTTGATGCGAACTCTATGGGGAATCCTTGCAATGGATGGCAGGTGGGTTATCTAGATGATGTAGCGAGTGGCTCGCAGGAAACTTCTACAGAGGTCTGTGGTGTTGATGGTGGTTTCATCAGTGGATCTTACCAAACAATGCAGCTGGCGAAAGACGACAGACGACTTCTTTTTCATGAGCTAGCTGGCCATCTCTGGCCATATCTGGCCATACTGGTCAGCCATCCAAATCCACGTCACCGGCCACGCGGTTCCCGCTGTCCCCACCGGACGTCTCAGGTCCCATCCTCGCGTCGCAGGGCTGGAACCCGGCGACCGCCATGGTGGACGTGATCGCTGAGGTGCGGCAAGCGCTGGTGGAGGCCCAGATCGTGGCCTATAGCACAGTCGCCATCAAGAAGGCGAGGCCGGAGTCGAGTCGCTTAGTACTGGGCAACCTACTGGGGTCCAGTACTTTGGAGTTGTGGTTGGATCTGGTGAGCATGGGGTGGCAGCTGGGTCGGAGGGGCCACCCCATGTGGCAGTTGGTGCAGCAAGATTGATCCTCAGCTCGTTGGTTTCGTGATGTTTCGTGCATGTTTAGCCATGCACGCCACCAATCCACTTCATGAAGGCGGCTGAACCAATGGAACACCGGGGCATAAGCCACACCCGATCTGATGGGTCAGACATGGTCAGACTTGCGCCTAATCTGGGTGGCTTTCGACTCGTACCCTCGGAAACCGCCCTCGGTCTCCGCAGGAGTACCCGAAGCCGGCGATCCAGCTGGAACGCAGCTCGGACGAAGAGAAGAGACCGGCTTCTTCAGCTGTTGCAGCCACTCATACCACTTATACGGCCACTCATCCCGAGCCCGTCTCCTCTCGACTGGGCTCCCAAAAGGCTTGAGCTCGGAGCTCTTCCGGACGGCGAACGACTTCTGCAAGGAGGGCATGACAGTGCTCTCGGCGGCCGCGGCCGCGCCCTTTCTGGGGGACCTTTCTAGGTGGGCGGATGCTTTCGATCGAGTACAACATGTGGGGTAAGAATGAGTATATAAGATTAAACACCTGTGAGCAAGGTGTTTCTATGGTGTTTCTAGACAGCTGCCTTTCTTTTGCGGTTGACATTTGCCTACTGCAGCGAAACCACACTTTGGGAGGCCATTTTTTGTGGTCCGCACAGGTGAGCAACTTGAGTGGACGATCATGCCAAAGACATGCTCGTTGTCGTCCCAGAATTTCAACTGCATGGCTGCATGGCAGGTTAGAAGCCACCGACAAGATTGGCTTGCGGTTCTCTTATGCCAATGAAATCTACGAACGCGCTGAGCAGGGGCTGGAGCTGCATTTGCCCTTAACCTTCGAAGTGACCTCACGACTAGGCCGAAAGACACATTGCCGGGTGCCTCAGGAAGTGGAAAATAGATGAACATAGTGGAACATTGCTTCTCAGCTTTGGGAGGTTTGTGTATTTGGCCAACTGGTATTATCTCTTTGGGTAGGATTGATCTTGTGAAGTAGTTATATAAGTTAAATAGGTAGTTGGCATGAAAGTTGAAGTCCAATCAATGGTGGTCATGATGGACCTGATTTTGGGAGGTTCTCCCACAGCTACGGATGCTTTTGGCCAGTCGTTGGGACGCTTTTTGTCGCAACGGCCGGGAGGAAAAACGCATCCGCTGGGAGTTGTAGGACCTTGCTGATTGGATGCACCGGCCATCACCAGACCATACCGGACCCTTTTGGCTGACATGACAAAACTTACAAGCGCCAGTGGTTGCATCAGATCAGGCCTGGGGCCCACCGTTCTCCAAACATCACGGAATCGCATCACAAATCGCCTCCTCACGGAATGCTCGGCCGGCGAGGGATTTCCGCAACCGCCGCCAGATGTGATAGGTGCAATCTTTGAGTTCATCAATGGCTTGCCTGACATGCACGTTTTGTTGCCCAAGTGGGTGCTCGAAGACATGGGCGTGGAAGAGCTGCTCGGCCGGCCTGACGGGTTTTCAGGAACTATATAACTTGGAGTTGTTATTTTGGGAAAGCATCAGGAATGTGGACAATCTCAAGAAGTCACGGGTTGAAGACGGTGGAAGACGGTTACCTGTTGGATGCACAGAACTCTTGGAATACGTAAATTGGTGAAGAAGGCATCCGTTTTGAGCTTTCTATTTGTGGAAAGCAGACTCACCGGGTCAGTTGCATGAAAGAGTTCACCGCGCCGGCTCACGCCTTGCCTGGATTGTTCTGACTCGCGCACAGGAGTCAGAGCTTTCACCGCGTGTGGAAGTGGCCACGAGGGCGCAATCCATGAAAAGCTGACTGGTGCTTAGTAGAGAATAAGGGAGTGCACCCCTTAAGCCTTACAACAGATACCCGTATCTTAGGATCCATTCCCTCATGCTAAGCACCAGTCACAAGAGTTTCCCCACTTCCGGTTATTTCTGACCGCCGAACAAAGCTGCCAGCGAAATGGCCGCAGCTTCTGAGGAGAGATTTGGTGCGCGTGCGCGGGGTCATGCTTGATTTGATCACCGGCGCGCCCTCGATTGCAAAGAAACTGAAACGGATTCTCTCGGAGAGTTTTGAGAGATACGTTTGGACAAGCACATGCGTTGCTTGGAAGGATCCCTGGTTTGGACATTGTTTTTTGGACACATGTTGGCATATTAACTGACATATGGACGTACTGACATCATCTGAGATTTAAACTGACACATGAGCTCACACAACTACTGTTGAACTTTTGACGCATGTACATTGTGATGCTTGGGCATCTTGGACTGACATATCTTCAGGCGGCTGATGTATCAGCTGACTATTTGTTGGTTTCATGACCTTTGTACTCATTTGCATTGACATATGTATTATGTACTGAACAATCCATTGCCGGCATCTGAGTCGTTCATGCCCCAAAGACTTAGAGTTGTGCTGCCCACCGGGAAGGTATATGTCCTGGAGGCTAAGGCTTATGGTTCTACTAGGGGGCGTTCGTAGATTGAGAAAAATAGAAGCCACAAGTGGATCATCCTGTGCACTTCCAGTGGACATCTCGTCTATCAGGATCTGAAGCATTGGGGTTGATTGCACAATGACCCAACACTTTCCAAACCATTGCGTCGTGCCTTGTTTTTCATGCCCCAGAACCCATGGCATGAAAAGCTCCATGTCGAATCCCGAGCTGTTTCGGAGTCGGAGTGCGGATCCCACCCCGACCTCCATCCATGTCGACTGAAAGGTGCGGATCCAGCCCCACAGCGTGGACTTCTACCACGCGGTGCGCAGTAGCGGCCGGGAGGTCACTGAGCTCCTCACAGAGTCCCTGGCGCGCTTCAGCTGCTTGACCGAGGCCTGGGGGAGTTTTCTTTTCGGTGAGAGCTGAAAAGGAACTCGCAAGGTGCCCTCAGAAAAGGTGAGGAAAAGAGGTCCATGAGATGTTTTAGGGTTTAAGCGTGTTTAAAGCAGTGAGCATGCTAGCCATAGGCCATCCAGGCCAGCCTGGAAGATTTTTTCTCCCGGACTGCCAGCCCGCTCGCCACCAAACCTGCAAGCTTTCTACTTATAGCATCGAGGGAGGTCCGCTAAGAACCCGAATTGAGCCAAGAATTGCGAAATGGCTGCGTCGGAAGGCACGTGCAGCGGGATGGACAGCCAATTTGATAGGTACTCTTACCTTGGCCATGGTAACAGGTGTCACATCAGGGGTCGCAGGGTTGTCAAGACGCCGCAGTTCGACCAAACATACAGTTGTCGACGGTTCGAAGTGTCCTTGCCAGTAACACATGGACGTTCGCAAAGCAGCATGTCACGAGATATTTGCACGGTGATGACGCGGATGGATTCAGCGGAACTTCCCGTGTGCTTCACAAACTTCAATCGTTGACTCCCATATGTACGACATGTTTAAACACAAAATAGATAGTTTTTTAGCATGAAAGATGTACCTTTGGGATCCTTTGGGCACGTTGGCATAGTTTGCATGCATGAAAGGGCTACATGTTGGCAGAGGTGGAAGGAGGTGATTTTGGAGACATGCGTGCAACTTTCCTGAATGCCAAAAAGTTGTGCTGCCCCAAATCCAGACTTTTCGAATAATTGATGTTGTTTTGATCAATCAAGGCCCCTTGTGGAATCTGGTGGGCTCATATTTCTGATCAGATTAGCATATGTTTTCTGCCATGTGACGTTGAACTCTCTGTTGGTCTTCGAAGGTGCACCTTTTCTCGCGTTGCGTAGCCGTCTCTGGGCTTTTCTTTTCTGCGCTAATCAAAGGAAGTTTAGTGTGCAAAACTTCCGTGTTACGGACATTCAACAGCTGTTCAACCACCACTCATCATACACCACTCATCACACACCAGTCATCATACACCACTCATCACACACCACTCATCATACACTACTCATCACACACCACTCATCATACACTACTCATCATACACCACTCATCATACACCACTCATCATACACCACTCATCACACACCACTCATCACACACCACTCATCATACACCACTCATCATACACCACTCATCACACACCACTGATCACACACCACTCATCACACACCACTCATCATACACCACTCATCATACACCACTCATCATACACCACTCATCACACACCACTGATCACACACCACTCATCATACACCACTCATCATACACCGCTCATACACCAGCTCAAGCTCCAGGCAACTCCAGCTCCAGGTGCAGATTGCGCGGCAGGTGCAGCACTTTGTGAACCTCCATGTGCAGATTTCGTGGCAGGTGCAGCACTTTGTGAACCTCCATGTGCAGATTTCGTGGCAGGCACAGCACTTTGTGCACCTCCATGTGCAGATGTCGTGGCAGGCGCAATACAAAATGCGTTGTGGAGAGATAGCGAATGCACGAAATGCTGTATTTTTCAATGGAACCGGTGGCTCCGAAGCTGGCAAGTCAAGGTCTGCGGAACGACGGGTGCGAGACGGTCTCGGATCATTCTCGGATCATGCTCGGAATCGTCCGTCCATTGGGATTAGAGTTTTCACTTGTTTCTTGAAGTGCAGAATTCGTGGCAGGTGCAGCACTTTGTGAACCTCCATGTGCAGATTTCGT